CTTTTCCACTGAATTAAAAACTTTCCACGTGATGAATGAATACAAGCACTGAAACCAGTGTGCAAATATGTGCGCCTTTTATTTCGGACAGAGACACAGCCTGGGGGTCCCTGCAAACAACAGTGAACTCTTTCTCACGCATAAAGAACATCTATCTGCAGGAAAACATTCAGAGAAAACAAGCAAAAATCAGGGTAAAGGTGGAAGATTGTGGAAGCAAAGGTGGGGGATATTGGCAAAAATAGAGACTCAAGACAAACTTTTCTTCATAAAACAGCCTGTTTGCATCACTCTTAACAGGCCAGATCACATATACAGATTGTTTCCAACCTTCTACAGAGCCACAGACTTCTAAACATTTCCATCAACTTTAGTAATGCAACTTCTTGTTTAAGCTCCATTATACTGGTGAAGGCATTTTTACTCAAGCACAATTATCAAAGGCAAAATTATTTGAAAAATCCGTGCAAACAAAATGGTTATACAACATTATACAAAATCTCATGGTGGGGTTATTTTTCACTGTTTTGCACATCTGTATTATGAGTCTTCTGGTGAGTTTCATCCAATGTGGAAGTAAATGAGAAGGAATCGCAAAGTGGAAGGTACAAAAAGCAGCACAGTGATGTGCAAAATGGTTAACTGTGGCTGAAAAGTGTGTAAAAACAAGCAAAAAAAAGTCACTGGTCAGGTCTGATGTAGAACCGTGTTCGGTTTTTTAGATATTTCACGGCCTAAAAATCCTTAAACCTGCTCCCAAAAGCTATTTATGCAAGTTTCATGTCTTTGTTATTTTGAGTCTGACGCTTCCATCACACTAATCCCAGTCTGAGTTGAACACATTGTGCTCATCTCCAAAAAAATACACCAAAACAGAACCAATTCCACACTATGATTCCTCACTCACATTATTTTGGCTGCATTTTTAAAAGTTCTGCTGCCTGGATCACAAAACCAGAAGCAGACTACTGAAAAGTATTGCTGTATAACAGTAACTGAAGTCAGATTTTCACATGCAGCATGGTGCTGTTGTTTTAGGTAGTTTTCCGACAGTCACAAATGAGTATATTCACTTGAACTTGCTCAACAGAGAAAGAAAAACAAAAGTGGTTATTAAGGCAGCATGGAGGCGCCCCATCTACCAGCATTGTTCTGCGCTTTTAGGGCATATTTGCGGACCGCGGCTGGGTTTAATAGCCAACTTCACGCAGCTAAAATCGAGCCGTGTTGTCACAACTTCAGGATTTGGTATCTTGTCTCGCTGGATTGGGGCTCCTTCAGCATTAAAACGCTGATGAAAAAGATTGTCAGAAGAGAGCGAAGGAGAGCAGAGTCAGTGCAGCGTCTCTGTAAAAATATCTTAAATTTTAAATCTGCAGCTATCGGATGGTGACTACGAAGCATTTCATCGTAAAAACCCTTTAAATCTTTACTAGCAGGGTAGCTGGGACATTTTAGCCCTTACAATTAACACGAGAGCTTTTTACTGTACAATCTAAATAACTTAACCCACTCCTACAGTGGCAAGAAAACATTAGAAGTAATCATGTGACACTTTAAAACTGTATATATGTATGTATATATTTATATAAGGTATGTGAATATGTACAGGCCAGAAAATATAAACAGCAACTTTGTGCATGAAAGGCAAAAGGGACCTTTCTCAAAACACCTCAAATTAAAAATGAACAAGACAAGTAGAAGTTAAAGGATTCATGTGAGTTGTATCAGTGATTCACAATCTGTGTTTAAACTCTCTAAGATGTAAGATTAGAAACTCCGACAACAAACAAGTCTCTGATTGATCTAAACCAAGTAAACGTGACATAATTTTAAATCTAACTTAAGCATAGAGATTTACAAAGAAACTATTTCTGTTGTTATTGTAGCTTTAGGAAATAGTTTGCGGCACAGGACGGACAAATTACTGAAATAACTCCATATTAAAGTGTTATCAAAAAAACAATACGAGCATTACCTTGGTCCAAGTAAAATGCGAAAATAACCCCCCCCAAAAAAAACAGTGATGAAAAATACCTTTATGTTCTTCAAATTCCCCTAAAAACACAAGCTAGACTGACAACACACACATCTATTATCACTTCCACCCACACTGAAGGTGAAACTTGGTAAAAGGCACGACTCAGGGGGGCTTCAAAGTTACTCCAGTGACAGAGGAGAGAGTTTCTGGCTGCCTCCTTCCACCCAGAAGCTGCACAGTGACGGCATCAGCAACAAAGGACGGACTGCTTCGTGTTCACTCGAGGCTTAATTGACCTCACAAGATCCTCAGACCTGTGCTGCGTATGTAAGCCAGAGCAGAGCTGGAGTCAGACGTCATCACTGAGCTTCAGTCTTTAGAAATTTGTGTTAAGTCACAGGAAGCCAACTTTTAATTTTGCTTCACAACATCTTTTAGAAGGCAATGAGCTCAACATTTTAGCTGCCGCCCAGAATCTGCACGTTTATTCAATCCTTGGCGTGGTCAGAGGAGGCATCACTGCAGCTGGACCCTGTACGCACAGATGAGGAGCTTAACCTGAGGACGGAACATCAGAGGGAAAAAAAGCAACAGTTAGCTCGACATTAAAAAAAATCCACAACTGCTGCAGTGCAAAAATGGTTTGACATCTTAACCTCTTGTACGGCATGAAACAACAGATGAGCTTTTAGCTTGGTGGTACGAACACTTTTTGTTCTGGAGGCTGTTTTTCTGCTGCAGAGAAAAATGTATACTTTAAATTTTCAGTGTGGAATAAGCACAAAAAATGGAGAGCAAAGGAGTAAGGTGGATGCTATTCTATAGTGGAGCTAAGATTAGCCAATTAATGAATAAGTTGTCAATTAATAAATCAATCGCTAACTATTTTGATAATTTAACAATCAGTCTGAGTAATTTTGGAAGAAAAAAAAATTCTGATTCCAGCTTCTTAAATGTGAGTAGTTTTTGGTTTCTTTACAGCAAACTAAGTATCTTGGGGGTTGTGGACAAAACGAGACATTATATCACATTTTAAACAACTAATGGATTCATTATCAGATCAATCAACAGTAAAATTATCATTAGTTAGAGCGCTATTCCATATTTCTGCTATTACCAACACATCCGGTTGAAACAGTTGGTTTTAACAGGATGTGTTGATAGTAACAGAAAATGTGCCAAATGTGTAAGAAATGAGTCCCTCACAAATGCACACTATTCCTGTTTGGGTAATGTTTGCTAAAAACTACAATGTCCAGCTGATTTATGGAATTATTTAGATTTTGTTTTAAAGATTTCTGTCCTCTAGGGACAAAAGGGCAAAACCACTGTTCACCACATTGTAAGTTTCAGTCTTTTCATTGGATTTTCTGTCAACAAAGAAAATAAACATATGGAATATTGACATCTTCTAAAATGAAGATTCTGCAGCCATCACTGAAAGAACTAACCTCACCAGCTGCCTATAGTTCCCTTTTCAACGACTTAACTACGTTGCCTGATTTATTAGTATTTGAGGACATTATATTACAGTGCTAATGTTTCCTCGGCTGTCTTGTTCTCTATTTATCAATGAAGGTTTGCTGTCAAACTCTGGCCTCTGAACAATGTTTGAGTCAAAACATGAGAGCAAATGTTATTTGATTCTGGATGTGTGTCAACATGAACTTTGACAGAAACTATGCTATATGTGGAAGCTCGATAAACTTAGATTGATGCTGTCGTCAAAAACTGAAGGAAGTTCGAGACTCTTAACCCCTAAATGCTTTCAAGGTCTCTGTAAAAGCTTTGAATGTAATTGCTTTCGGTTCACTGAGACGGTAAAGGTGCTGTGTTCTGCTACAGGTAAGAAGAACAAACACAATCCAGAAAGTCTTTTTCTGTGTAATCCACCATCTACAGTGCTATGAAACAGCACTATATTATTATAGCTGAAATGATTTTGTTTTCAAAGGGAAAACAGTCAGTAACCTACCACTGAACAGACTTGTTACGTTGGAAACCTGGGAAAGCTGAAGGGTTTTTGCAGGAAAACCCTACCTGATCAAATGCAGCAGTGCCATTGAAATGAATGAGGAGGACTAAACTTGGTCTTCAGCTTGGATTCATGTCAGGCTACAAAATGTTTCAACAGAGCTGCAGCATTATTCCCTTCTCCACTGCCCATGTGCACCCTCTACACATGCTATGATCTTATTTATTCTCCCTTTAAATGGCAAAAAAAACCCCAAAACATTTCTAAATCTTGAAAACCAACCTTTAGTCAGATTTCACAATGGCCTGATAAGCAGAAGAAGCTTTTACGTACATGTTAAAAATGTTGTGCTTATGTACTACTGTATGTTTGTCACCTTGGCAGCTGGTGCCTCTGCAAGACGGATGAAGAGTCTGTTGATTCCTGGAACCGGGTTAAAGGAGTAGATGAAGTGACTGTCCTGAAGAGTTGAAGACAAAAAGGAAAAAATGAGGATAACTAAGCACATAATCGCAAAAACACATTAAATCCCAACAGCACTGTTTAATACTCTGAACCTTATGTTAAAAAAACCGGCACCACCACCAAAAAATATGTCACAACTGCATTGTTGATGAAGAACTTTCAAAAACAGAAAGATTTGTCAGATTTTCAACTTTCAGATGCTCTATGAACTTTATCTGTGAGGTACTGTTCCTCAAAACCAAGTCAAATCCAAGCTTAAAATCCTGACATTTCATCTAAATCACTCAGTTTTATTCAAAAAATTCACCAACAGACGAATCAGTTGCGAGAGAATCTGTTAAAAAAAAAATAAAAAAATGATGCAACCTAGAAGCCCTTTGACACATGGTACAAAAATCAGGGACTTTTCGCCTGAACAGGACTGAACTGCAGGATGTGTTTACACAGAGCAGAGAGGAGACTCGTATTGAAATACATTTAAAAGACAGGTAGTGAAATACCTCAAGTATGCCGAGTCCCCACTCTTTCCCTCAGTACTCATGGGCATTTGGAAAATGCTGTATGTGTTGAATAAGTAGTCAAAGAAGTTTGCGCTTTTTTTTTTTTTTTTTAAATATGATTTGCGACATCGTGGCGATATCATGAAGCACAAAGGAAATGTTGAGTTCTTTCTACTTTTGCCACAGTTGTGCTGCTTCCAGACAGGGTCAGGACAATATGACAGGAGCAGAAAACACCCAGAAACTGTTTGGGTTTCAGAAGGTTGAATCACAACAGTAGCATTTAAGAATATAGATGCATAGTTTCCTGTGACTTCCTCGTCCAATTACATCTAATTTGCATCCTATTCAGTAGTAGTTTGTCTAAAAGCTTCAGTCACAATGAGAGCACTTCTCTAAGCATTCAGACAAGTGCTTACTGAAGGGAAATACATTGAATAGCAATTGCAAAAAACAAAACCACTGTGAATAGCATCAAAATACGGTTTGATTTGCTGAAAATCTTATAGATCATAAGTTTCTGTGTTTGACCATTTGTGCTGTATCAAACTAGTTTATTTGTTCAGATAAACCACCATTTTTTGCCAAGTTTTGTGGAATTGATCAGCATCGTCTGGTGTTCGTAAACCAACCAGGAAAATGGGCAGCTGGAACTTGTCGTTGAGCACGACGGCGTGAACGCTGCAGGGTCCGCAGAGCCTGGCCGTGATCTCAGTCAGGAAGTTGGCGTGGAAGATGAAGAGGATGATGCCTGAACCTGGAATAGCAGGGAAGTACAGAAACATTATGGGGGATGAAAAGAAGGTTGTCCCATTCGATCCACGGTGACTCTGACCTCTATTCAGCTGTCGTCAGAAACAGCTGCCTGTCTGTCACTAACAGAAGCGCTCAACGGCCTCAAAAGGCTGACTGACAGCAGAAATTTACTGAACACCAATTATTTTCCTGTAGGCTGAAGAAGATGACATCCACATTGTTTAAATGTATTGATGGTGTGCAATCTTTCAGAACCACTGGATGTTGCTAGAGGACCAGTATCTCAGACTAAAACCTGACTCCCGGTCATTTTGTGAAACTTCTTCTAGATTAAGAGAATGATGGTTGTAACGGTGCTAGGAGGGGTGAGGGTTTTTAATTACTTTTCCAATTCAAATTAATTGTCAGCTATGTTAGTAACAGAATAAACAGTTCATTTGCTTCCCTTCACTTTCATTTACAACCAGAGAGGTTGTAAATGAAAGCAAATAAAACCTGGTGTTCAGGCACAAGTAGAAAACAGAAGAGTAGTGGAGGAGAAGCTCAAAACAGCTGTAGAGACTTAAACACTGAGCTGAAACGATGCAAGGTCACATAAATAAAGTAAAAAACATAAATAGAACACTTTATTTTAAATTCTTGGAGTTTTCAGACACCGCTTGAATGCTGGCCTGCATTTTCACACTCCTAATGCTGTGGGGGAGGTCACTCTTGGTCTGTTTGGAAGCACTGGGAAGGCCATAGTTTCAATGGGAGGGACTCACATACAGTAACATGCACATGCTGGACTGAGAGTCAAAACATAGAACAGAAAAGCTTGGATGATTAACACAGAGGGAGGGTGTCATCACTGCACTACAGCTTTACGTATCAGGTAGTTGTTTACTACTCATAAAAATGTGTATTTTTATACAAAATTCTTGCATATTGCACCTTTAAGTGACTGCTTTGAATGCCGACAGTGACACCAGAAAGCTAAATGTGATACTGGAAACTGTGATCAGTCATTGCACATACCCTTAATAAGTTCAAAACATATAAACTGCAGTAGATTTGCAGCTGTTACATGCACCACAGATAAAAAGAAAAAAAAAAAAAAAAAAGGCATCACGCTTATCTTTGAGTCAGTGTGGATGAGTTTGGCTCACCAGATGTACACTATGAGTATAAGCTTCACTCCCTCCTTCTGCTATCAACATTTTCAAAATCCACTTCACTTCAGGAAACAATTACAACAAATTCCAGCAACCAAACTCCAACACTGAAGATTTTAAGTTTTTCCAAAGGATCTGGATCGTGTAGTAAGGCAGCACTGCTAGTTTTTTGTCAGTGGATTATCCTTTTTTTGAAGTTATTTTTTTGGACGCCAGCTCAATCAGTTGAGCTATCATGGCACCCCTGGATTATCCATTTCAATGACATCGTTGATCTTCCTGTACGCAAGTGTTCTATGAAAATAATTCCACTTTTTATTTTGAGGGAACACAGAGGCAGCATCCTTTACTTAGCTCCATCCCAGATGATTGTGATTCTTTTTTGTCACTTATAGCAGAATGATAGTGAGGTGAAGACAGACGATTAAGCACAACAGAATGGCCTGGCTAAGTAAGACTAGTATGGACTGATATATTTGAAAACAGTGAGACAGTTTGGACAGATTGCCAAAAATTCACAACACGCTAAAATGATTCTAAAAATGCTTTTTATGTAGATGGTCCTTCTCCTCCAGTAACCTTTTTCTGTTAAATGATCAGCATAATGATTAAAATCACAGACCACCACCTCATATGTTCTGTGAGATGATGAAGTTGTAGAAATGACCTCCAAACTTAAAATTTGGATTTTACCCTCTGGTTGCGGCTGTGACTTGAAGCCAAACTCCATGGAGAAGTCTGGTCCCTCACAGAGCCGGTGGCAGGCCAGAGGGAAGACGGGCTCCAGTAGCACCAGACGAGACTCAAAGTACGCTCGGATGGTGTCCTCAGCCACACTGGACAGCCTGAGAGACGGAAACATGGGAGGAGAGTCGATTTTAAACTGCTGCATAACCAGATGTATCTGCTGTTGGCTGGTCTGTACTATCAATCCAGCTCTGTGAACCTCTAAAGGTTTTCTTTGACATACTAAACCTTAGATTTTTCCGACACTGTGGCATAAATAAAATATCTTACACATTCTTTCTTTGAAATGCATCTGTGGCCTCCAGCCTTCATCAGTGCTGAGTGAGGCTGGAAGCTGTGGTTTGTACTCACATGCCGATGTGATCCTTGATGAGGTCGTACACAATCAGGTTGTTGCTGAGCTTGGCGAAGTACATGGCTGTGTTCTTGTGTTTGGACAGGATGTTGCAGTCAGCTCCGTACTCCAGCAGGAGGCGCACTACGTCAGCGTTACCTCTTTTACAGGCCTAATGTGAAGGACAACAGACGTTTATAACCGCAACATGTGACCCCTGCACAGACCCAACACCCCAAATAAGTGGCTCTTTTTTCCACCTTTACCAGTCTCGTCACCTTTTTTTTATCCCCTTAATATTTAAATACTTTTCAGATGATGTGGTAACCCAGGGAAAATTACATTTGCTCAAAGGTAAAAGAACGTCATCCAATATGGTTTTCAAACCCTTACTGCAATCTGAATTTGACACATTTCTGACACCTATCACTTCACCATTTGAGCTATCTGTAAATTGCAAATTACAATCATTTATTAAACGGGACACCGTTGCAATCTGTGTCTAAGTAGTGCTCACAAACTGTTATTGTGCAATTCATCTCATCGCCTCTAAAGACTAACATATGACACATCATGTCTGTTTGAGATTTGTGTATGAAATGCAGCACTACCTTCATCAGAGCTGTCTCCCCTCCCAGGGTCTGAGCGTTGACGTAGGAACCTGCTTCCAGCAAGATCGCAACAGTTGTCAAGAAGTTCTGGCAGAGGACAGAAAGAATAAAAGAAGTTTAAAAAAATACAAATGGTGAGTGTCTGTATTTCTTTAACTTTCCTGAAAAATAAATTAGCCTACATTTTGAAGAGCAAAAGCACACACATCATCTTTTTCTTGTACGCTTTAAGTCTCCTGTATGAGATTTTCTGCAGATTTAGTAAATTTGAAAGGGTTTATAAATGTGATTTCAGTGTTTATTGTTTATTTCTAATTTTAATACATTAAAAAAAAATATCTAAAAACATACTTAATGTGTAAGTTGCCTAATTTTTAGTATGATAAACTGCAAAAAAAAAAAATCTGAAAAATAGTTATCAACACATACAGTGGATTATTTTGCACATCATGAGGGCACCAAGGGATGCTGGTGATGACGTCCAGATTACCTCACTGCGTAATGTTCTCCTACTGCGTCAAAGTTCTTATCATTTTATTGGAAACTCAAAATAAAACTTAATGTACAAAATCACAGTTTAGGTGAAGACCTCCTTCTCATCTTGTCACCTTTTCAGCAGCGTGCATCAGGGCCGTGGTGCCGTTCTTCTGCCGTCCGTTCACCCTCACCCCCTTCTTAATCAGCAACCTGAGGATGTCGTCCTGCCCTCCAGCTGCTGCCAGCATGCTCAGGGACATACCACTGACATCCTGTGGACAAAAAGAAGACGCAAACTTGTAGAAATATAGAAAAAGGCGATAAACCCAGCTTCTTACTGACCCGATATAGAAAATGAATTTGCAGTTTGTGGTTTATTGCAGCTGAAGAGGTAAAAAAAAAAACAAAAAACAAAACCCTGAAAAAGTAAAGAAACGTTTCATTCTGCCCTTGTCTCTTTCTACCATCACATCCAGATGTTGTCAGATAGAGTACACAGAGGCCATGATCACAGATGAAGGCAACACTGTCTGTTATGAGACATTCCTTGTACAAAGTTTATTCATTGCTGTGTAGCTACTAGACAATTTTTAAAGAGTTAAAACATCAATGCTGGTTGTTGACCTATTCCTGTTGCTCAAACTGCACAGCTGTTTACTTGTTAATGCAGCTTCCAAAACAGAGACTTGGTCAGCAATAACTTAATAATTCTATAATTATTCATGAAGACATCATTGTCTACAGTTGTATTTTAGTGAAGCTTTGTTTTCAGATGCTGATTTATAAATTCCTGATCTAAACTGGCTTATCATGTGCACAGTTCAGTGGGGTGTTGGAGCCTGGCAAACCCTCAAACACATCATCAATCTATGGCAGGCCTCTATGAAGATCAATACTCCTGTTAAATCAATCACTTGCTTGACTGCAAAGATCTGTGATGTGATTTCTGCTAAGCCAACGACCAGCTTTAACTGCACCACAAATTAATCACCAACAGATTTTAACAGAAGTCAGAATATTTACTGAGGCTACACTGAAGTCAACATTTTATCACATTGTATGGTGATTAATTTAGCACAGCATGGCTTCATTGGATTAGAGTCAGGCTTAAATGACAGAAGAGAAAAACTAGAAAGAGATTTTAAATATGTAATGGCAAATGCACCATGTAAGTGTACAACATTTTATAAACACGGGAAGCGATGTTTACGTCTTCACATGACAGCAAAATGCACATATACAGGATCCCCACCAGAGAAATATGTTTATAAAATATTCAGTCTGTCTGGTGTCTTTAGCCACGCTAGCTGCTTGGTTCTCAGAAGGACAATGACAGTCTGTCTTCAGTTCACCACTTTAGCTACGGCTAATATATTTCTCCCTACAGGCACGATATTTAATACACTCATTCTTGTTTCCCAGAGGATGAATCTTTTCAGCTTTGATGACCGTCTAAATTTGCTTCGAGTCGCAACACAGAACGTTGGTACAAAGATTCACGCCGGCAGAGGGTGTATCCAGTGCATTTGGTGATTAATAAACTAATGCAGAGGACAGGGGAAGGAGGCAGTGGGAGACAATGGGATGGTAAATCTGGCACATGTTAACTATTGTATATGCAGCATTTTTATTTCCATCCAAAGGAATTTGGACAATCTGAACTAGTACTTATGTATAATTTTTTATTTATTTAATTTGTGTTTGCTGACATTTCCTAAATATTTGCACAATCCCCTTTGCTGCTTTAACAACAGAAATTTCCCCACTGTGGGGTCAGTAAAGGCCTATCATATTGTAATAAGTTAACTAGCTAAACAGCTGGACAATCTTTCCCCAGAAACCTTTAATTATGTCTTCAGAATTAAAAAAAAACAACAAAAAAAAAACAAACAATACATTATTTACAATATGAGCTACAATTACTCGGAATGGTCTTTTTTGTTTTTAACTGAAGAAAAGCATAAAACGATGATGAGATTTTTGCTATGATCTGTAGCAAACCAGCATATTCCCTTACATCTGGATAACACGATTTGTAGACCCCAACATCTCTGTAGCAACACAGCTGAAATGGTAAGTTGTGATGCATGTTACCTTGCAGATCTTGCAATTTGAATATCGCACATATGATTTTGATAACATTTTTTAAATTGTTCAGTCCTACTAAGTACAGCCTCAGGAGCTGCTAGCATGACTGTATACTCTTTAGTCTTGTTTAAAAGTCAACACATTTGCAAACTCATACCTACTACACATTGTCTTCTTTGGTACTTGGTCAAGGGAATCAGATAAAACGGCAAAACTTTCATGTTTTTTCATAACAAAATCATCAAATTGTAAGCCAAGAAGCAACATTTTATTGTACAAGCAGAAGTTATAAGTTTCCTTACAATACTTGATAGGAAGCATTAACTGAAGGCAAGATAATTACAGGATGAGGAGTAACACGCGACGTGTGCTCATACAACAGCAATGAAAAATATCTATCGACTATGCAGGGAGAAAAGAAAAATCATTGCCTTGCAACACCAAACAGCAATGGTAGTGTCTGAACAATCAAATATCATTCCATCAATTAATTTCCAAATACACTGTATCTGTAACTACTGTATATACTGCAACACAGATATACTCCTTTAATAAGAAAGCAACAACACAGGAAAAGCCTGTGGGGTGGAAATGAGTTGACGTAGGTCGTCTGACCCAGCTCTGCAACACTCTCCACAGTCAGGGTTGTAGGCATGTCTGACACTAATGGCTTTGGTATAAAAGGGTGAACACTGGTTACTCTACACAGGTTCACTACAGCTGCTACTGAGGATAACACAAAGGCGTCTATCTGTGACAAAAAGCAGTGGTGTTTGTCTGGACTTTGTAACGAAAACCTCCTCTCCTTTTGTTATCAAAGAAAATTCAGAAAAAATGAAAACTGAACACTGCATGTTGTTGAATTTTCTTTTCATGCATCCCCATTAAGACAACAAAGAACAAGACAACAGATCATCTTGTGCTGAATATCCAGCGTGAAAGAAACTCTGTAGTGACCAATGTATGAACAGAAGTGCCACGACATTGTTTATTAAGGACTACAGTCGCAAAGCAAGTGGCCACCAGTCTGCTGACGGCAAATCAAGGTTGAACCTGTGTTCAATATTCAGTCGTAAATCTTTAACAAGGTTCGCATGTTGAAGATACAAACATTACGTTCTGCTTAAAATGAAATGTGTAATACTGTCCTGACTAAAGTAAACATTTCTAGTTAGAGGTGATAATACTTAAAAAGAATTTAGTCACTAACTTATCCACAGGGACAGGAAACTAACCTTTTCATCCATTGTCTAATGTCTGTTACACTCAAGATTCCAACATCCTAATGTATTACTTTTTGTAATATCACTTGCTCATACTCGTATTCAGGAATAACTGAAATAAAGTATTAAATGCACATAATAAGGCAATCTGATCTTGGCAAGTGGATATTCATATCACAAACATCCAGATAATAAAAAATTAAAATGAAGAAATATAAATGATACCAGCGTAGTGTATTTTACCTCAAATTAGAGTTTATCTAATACAATAAAATACTAAAATGTTCTACACAGTCACTGTATAGTAATACAAAAATACAACCAACCCTTTAGGGTTTAGCTTGTTAATACATAAGAAAAACCATATAAATGATAATAATGGACAATTATCAACAGGGTCCTCAAAGAAAAAAAAAATATTTTTTTTATATTTCAGTGAGAGGTATACAAACAGCTCCTAATTGTCTAACATCAGCAAGGAAGGTATGTCATTACTGCTGCAGGCTATCTACAATATAGGCTACTGGCTAAAGCAAGAATATAGTACACTTGAGCGAGGCATTCGGGAATGATGCAAAGCAGGTCAACTCGCATCGATCATGTTGGAGGGACTGACTGCAAAGATTTGCTGGTACGTTTTCTATTTTTTTTTTTCTGATCATCAAAAATCATAAAAATGCTACTGAAAACCGTACAGGCAGAAAGATAGATGTATAAGTGCGTTTGGAAGTAAAGAAGAGTAAAAATCCCTCTGCGAATGTACAGTCACCAAGAATATCTTTGCTCAGAAAAGGGTGAGAAATTCCCCATTTAGTGTAGAAGTAGAGTCCCAAAGAAATCAGCCATCGGTTTCACCACTGTGAGAGCTTGTTTGGGTGACACGGCAGCTGCTTGGCACTGTCAGTGACTGGTGGAAAGCTGTGAATCCTGTCAAAATGAGGTCACGTTTCCTTTATAATTAGAGCACTTTCGGAAAATGATCTGTGATGATCAGACAAGCTGACAGTGTTACATATTGGACTGTGTTTCACACACACATACGCCATCTAACCACCTTAAAGATTAATAAGTGCTCTTTCTGAGCCACAGCTACAGTACAAATTGTCCTTAACTCCACCGATTTAATGTCTCATGATGCAACCAATAACTTAGTCTGGAGGATTGAATTTTCAATGCTTCATGATCTTTTAGGATGCGTAATTTTAAGACTGGCAGGGCTGTTTGTAAATGTCAAAACCCACATGGCTGCTGAGACCAAGTTTTGCTGACAGTACATTTTACAACAATTCACATCTGCTGAACTTTTAAGCCTGACACAACTTAGGGTTAAAGCCACAGCCCTTATATGTGGAAACTGGACATTTCACAAATCACTTATTTTCTTGCATGTCCATTTAAAATAATTACAGGGACAGATACACAGGACCATCCCACTCAGTGTTTGAAATCTGAGGCTCTGGTTCTGGTCCTGCACTTTGCTTGGATGCGACTACATGACCTCTTCGTTTCAGTGACTGAATCGAGTTATGTACAAAATATTTGACCTCCCTCCACGTTCTGCTGCTGAGGGCAGGTTCAGCAGCTAAACATGCATCACAATCCTTTTTGCCTGGTATTTTCACCAGTTTACAGAAGTCTCCGAGCTGACGCCTCACTGCCGCCTGCTCCTCCTCACTCCACAGCCTTTTGTTTCTCTTTTGAGGCTTGACAGCTGGAGGGGCTTGTCTTCCTGCAGAAGACATGGGAGTACTTTCCTGTCCGACTGTTGCCATGTCAGAAAGACCGGGTCCATGGATTGTTGGGACAACCTGTGCTGTTGTAGGAATCCGAGGTGGGCTTGTGGGGTAAGGTGGGGCACTTGAATGGTTCAGAGGTGTGAATGAGGAAACAATAGGCCTACTTCTATCATTCATTGTCGAGAATGCAGGGATCATTTGTGCACTTGCAGTACTTAACTGTGT